CTAGGCAGAAGGGGGAGAAATGACCAACTGAATGAATGGTTATGTGGATGCTGTCATGTTCCGTGTTTTGGATATTATGCTCTCAGATGCACCTTTGAGAGACCAGATATGCTGACATCAGATGCAGCTCAACTGACCATGAGGGGCAGGAATGTTCTGGGCAGCAAGCTGGCTGGGCTTATCACCAGAGCTTTAAACAAGGTTTGATGAGGGAAGAGGATGTATTTCTTAGTGACTGAGAAGAGCCAGCAAACGCTGTCACATTAGGAAACATCAGGGGAAAACCTCAGATTTGTCCCAGAGGAATTTGGGAGGGCTCCTTAAAGAAGACAACATGGCCAATAGCCCAGCTGTGGTGCCCTAGTGCCAATGCATGCAGCATGGAAAATAAGCTGGAGATGGAAACTGTGGTCCTATTAGAAAACAGTGACCTACTTGTTATCACAGAAACAAGGTGGGATGAATCATACAACTGGAATACAACAATCAAGGTCTAGAAGCTTTTTAAAAGAGAGAGGCAGGGCAAGATGGGTTGGGGAGTTGCCAAGAGTTATGAAGTGGGTAGATTGCAAAGGGCTGCCTCTGAGAACCAGCCTCAGGTTGAGACCTTGTGGGTTAAAATCAGGCACCAGACCAATAAAGGACATCTAGTGGTTGGGGTCGATTACAGGCCACCTGATCAATGGGAACCTATTGACGAAGTCTTCTTGCTTCAGCTACAAGAGATCACACTCACAGGCTCTTATCTATCTCTTATCCCCTGATAGGAGATTTCAACCACCCAGACAGCGAGAACAACAGGGGAGGATATCTTCCTGGTCAAGATATTGGACAGATCAATCAGAGGTAAAGTGTTACTAGATCTAGTTGGATGGGGCTCTGGGTGACATGGTGGTTGTAAGTCTGCCCACAGAAGGAAGGTTGTAACTATGCAAGTTGCTATAAGGCAACTGTTTATTTTCATGGAAACTACAACAGATACAAATAGCAAAATAACACTATTTGACAGAGCAAATTCTGAGCTACAAAACACTGTTTTCAACAGGATCACCATCATTAGCTAAGCATTTTTGCCAGCAACAAAGATGAGTCTGCATGCCATGCTCATAAAAATCTGCATGTCCCCATGGAACATGACTTTCACATCACTGTCACCACAGCTGAAAAGCACCACCCACCACCTCACTGCGCTCACATTCACTGCTTGATCTTCATAAATACTCCGCAAGTATCAATGAATGTCCATGGGTGCAATTTATTTCTTGTGGAGGAATTAAATTCCACACCTTTGCTTCATACGCACTTCCATGTCGGATGCCATTCCGTCAGACTGCCCCTGCTGCCATCTGTCATCATGTCACATCTGGCACATGGCAACATGTAAAGAAATATTAGTGGGAAGGTTTTGCCTCTACTGCCATACCACCAACATCCACCTCTGAAATTGTGAGCAAACATAATAAAACAGGGGGCAGAACTTTTGGAGCAGTGCTTACAGATGATCTTTAGGATGCCTTCCAACATAAGCCATTTTATGATACTATGAAATCGCTATTATATTTCAATAAGCTGTCATTGAAATGAACATAAAATGTAGCTCATGACATAAACACATTTACATCTGTTTGTCAGGTTGTTTCAAATGAACGTGACGTTACCAAACTGTAGATATTTCCCTGCTGTGATTTATTCAACAAAACATTACTGCCTCATTGATGCAAATGATGCATTTACTTCCCATAATATGCAGGGACTAGTTTCCCAAGCTCCACATGGAATAGTAACCAATTCCTGCTCTCTAATCTTCCCAGTGCTGCTTGTTTTATGCCATGAAGAAGAAAGCAGAAGAAATCATGACGTCAGTCTGACTTGGGTAGAACATACTATGCTTTGTTGTTGTTTTAACATTAGAGTATAAGAGGTGCTAATGTGATGCTGGCTTTGCTATAAATCATTCTTAGTGTCTGAATTTTAACTTCATCTTGTGAGTTATTCCAGTTTGTTTGTACAACCAAATTCTGTAATGTATTTGCACACAGGAGTATACCACTGATTGTAGATTGGTCCAGAACGGAAAATAGCATGAAAGCGGTAGGAGCCAGATTTTGCAAACAGTTTAAGAAATGTTTACAGGTTCTTCTACTCAACAGAAGCCTTATTCAGAGGCTAGAGAAGTCAGGTGATATCCAGATGCAGTTCTGTATTTTGAATTGAATGATACAACAGGAAGCACTTGTATGAATAGCTGACGTAGCCAAGCTGATCAAAACTGAAGCAATACAGTTATTTTATCTGCCACCATCATGTGGCCAAAAGACAACAGAGTATGGTTTATTACATTTTTTGCTTATTTGCTAATACAGCTTAGCAGAAAACACAGTACTTGTTCAAACAAAGCAATGAGATCTTTGAGAAATCTTAGGCTCCTTACCCCAGACTTCTGAACATCCTTCCTTCAGTTGTGCCAGCACAAATGCTTTGGTATTAACAAACTCATCGGTTTAAAAAATAACCTTAATAGAGTAGCTGTTTTTAAACACCACAATCTAGCTCAACTGAAAATTCCACAATCTAGCTTACTGAAAGGTTTCATGAACAGTTTCAGAGTAGTCACTGGGGTAGCACAACACTGGTTTAGACAGTCAGAAGGGAGAATTCTGGCCTGAATTGTTGTTGAGAAAAAAAAAAATCCATCATCAAACCTGGACATCACTCATTGCTGAACAGCCCGGTTTGGTACAAGCTATGCTACCTTACATTTCAGAAATTATACCTGTGACTGATTGGGATTGACCAGTTCCTAGTTCATATTATTCCTTATCTGTCATTCAGTGGAAACTTAATATCTACAGCTGAAAGAAACAACTTCAGTTTAGAAAGTGAACACAAGCACGTAAAAAACATGCTTTCATTTCATAGAATTGTCATAGAATCACAAGGTTGGAAATGACCTGCAAGATCATCTAGTCCAACTACCTTACCATTTCTATTAGTACCACAAGCACTAAACCATATCTCATAGCTCCTCATCCAGGCGCCTCTTGAACACTGCCAGGGACAGCGACTCCACCACCTCCCTGGGCAGCCATTCCAGTGCCTGACCACCCTCTGAGAGAAAAAGTTTCTCCTAGTGTCCAACCTAAACCTCCTCTGGTACAAATTTCTAATGTTTAGATGCTTCCCCTATATATAGGATTGGTATTTTCAGTTTATTTACCTGAACTAAGCAAAATATAACTACATAATGGTGTATTTAAATTTCTGGCATCCTAAGACACACAAGTTATTGTCTCCCCTTTTAAGTTTAAACAAAGGTGATAGCAGTTCTCCTGGCCTCTAATACTCTCTTTACTTGTTCATTATAGAATCCTTTCAACATTGCCTTTAGCAATTCACAAACTCATTTTTTCCTGAGTAAATATTTAAACCAGATCTGTTTAAAAATGTCTACAGAAAGAAAGAAGATAAAAGCAAGCATTTAGATTTATAGCTAACTGGGTAATAATCAACAGCTAGTAGTGCTGAAAGGACTTCATCCATGTCTCAGCTTTAACAGGAACCTTTAGTCCAGGCAGGGGGCTGTAAGCCTTTGTGTCCTTTTGGTAACATTCTTAAGCAAATAAAAAATTTGCCACACACCTCAGTGGACAATTAATTCATTGAAACAAGACATTTAAACTTTTCCTTTTCATCTGCAATATAAGAGTTTGCTGCACTAATATTTGTCTTTCTGTTTCATAGTGGAAAGAAAAAAGATAAGAAAAGTAGAGAATTAGAACTTAGTCTGCTATAATTGAGAGCTTGCCCCATATACCTAGTTGTTTGTCTCCATTTAACTTCAATTAATGCAAACTTAAATTTTTAAGCTATCAAAATGTATTAATTAGTGAAATAAACTGCAAGCATTTTCAGCATTAGGTTTCAAAAACTGACATTCAGACATTGTTAGATATACTTTCTTGTAGAAACACACTTTCTATTTAGGCTTAAAACTGAGATATTTCCCCCTTGTGATGTTAAGTAAAATTCTCACAGTCAGGTTTCAATTCATTCTGACCACTTCAGGCATAACTTTATAGGCTGCTCTGAGGACAGAAGATACACTTTCTTAAACTGAGATATCTTATTTTAGAGACCTGAGGAACCAATAGACAAATTCTTAATTAAAGTCTTCTGAGAACCACAGTGAAATACTGTAATTTCACTTCATGGTAGGATTTGGTTTATAAAGACTGTAGTAGTTGTTTTGTATTTAAATAATATGTACAACATAGTGCATTTCAGAAACTTGACAACTCATGCTTTCTATAAAGAATTGCTTCTATTTGGAAAAAGGGAATGCTCCCAAAATGTAACATTTACAGAAAGTTACACAAGTAAACCCAATGTTTTCCACAACATTATGCTGAAGTAGTTTTATTTTTCATATTATAAAGCAGACAATAATAAATGCAATGAGAAAAATCGACTCTTTTTATTGAATTAAGAACTCAGGGAGATATAAACCATCAGTTGTCTTAGAAAAGAGCATTAAAAATCTGCTGTTACAAAATAAGATGACTCTCATTTTCAGAAAGATATATATCCTCTCACTGGCCAAAAATGAAGAGAGAAACTGCATACCTGTTTCCTTCTTAATGCATATAACACTACTAAATTTATGTATACCATTCTCCCTTGCTATAACCTTAGAAGTTATTTTAAAGATATCAACAAATAATCCTTCCTGCATATCACAAACTTTTATTCACTAATTAGAACTGCAGTCAACCAGTAGGAGAGAGGATTGTTTATCCTCCAGCAATTGGTCATATAGCTTTGTAATAACAGTGCTGAGCCTGTCCAAAAGCATTCACAGAACAATTTACTAACAAAAAAAGAAAAGTGAGACATGCAAAGAATTCTTCATTACATCATCAACATTTTTTTTGCCAGACTTTCAGTTTAAACATTCTAAAGCAAAAAGTTAATTTTACTCCAACAGGAGGTGAGGCACTTACAGTGGGGTTCATAGGGAGGGGGAGGATCACCACAGGGAACACACTCCATGTCTTGAAAGCCTCCAAGCTTGGTTTTCCTATAAAAGCTAGAAAATACAAGAATAATTCATAGTGACAAAATCTCTCTCTGAGAAGTTTGAATGATGTCATACTCTCGTACAAAGAACTTATCTAAAATACCTTCCTAATCAAGTAGGTCTGGCTTGTTTTCAACCATAGTATTAACCTAGCAATATGCTTTCTGTTGCGGCACATTAAGAAAAAAGTACTAACTTTACTTTTGTTTAACATAACATAACTACTAACATAAATATTCCTTTAAAATATGAAAACTATATCAGCTAAAACAAACAGCTTTCCAATTGCTCAAGAAACTTCCACACTAACAACATGAATAGAAACAGATTTATAGGGTCTAGGACTGGAAGTGCCAACGTGATCATTCACTCAGAATGAAATCTGTTAACATCTGTTTGTAGCTGACACAGCTACTGAATCATTTTCAAGCTGAAAAATAGAAAATGACACTTTGGAAACCAGTGCAAAACAGATATCATCATATTTTATGAGAGATAATAGCTAAACCTTTAGTTTGGCAAGCTGTAGATTATATGTACATCCATCCATTCTCTTAGGCCACATCTAAAGTGATGGGTAGGGTATATAAGTGGTGTCATGTTCTACAGTTCTGTTCCTCATAAGGTCCAGACTAGAAACTCAGCGATTCCTCTACTCATGTTTCCAACCTTACTGTCAGTAAAAGCACATTGTGTTATCAGCTGCCATCTCAAAATGTACCCAAACACATGGATCTAGAGCAGAATACTTACAAGCAAACTCAATTAAGGTTCACTCCTAAATCATGTTTTACTCAGGCTTCCTTCTTCTTTCCTTTTCCATCTTACAAAAACACAGCTTATATTATTTACACCATAAGAAAATTGTTTCCTGTTTCACAGCCAAATAAGTCCTACAGTACATATGTATTAATGTGCAATAAGAATGTAATCAGTCATTGGGCTTTAGGGCTTTTCAGATGTCACTGTCAGTAACAGTTAATCTTAAACTGTGACTTAAACTAATACTTGTTACCAAAGCTTTACTAATTGCTTTTTAAATGAAAAGGCCTCACTTCTGTCTTGAGAGGAATAATACAAGGAGCTTCAACAGCGTTCAGATAATTGTTAGCTGCTTTGAAAATAAGTAAATATAAAAATTAAATTGTAATTTGTATCTACATCTATATATCTGAAATACATATCCTGAAATTATAAAACCTGCTACAGTTACAAATCAGTTCTCATAACCTACACCTATCAGTTAAACTACCAACTGACAGTTCAAAAAGGCACGAAATGTCTTTTAACAAATTCATGGCAAATACTGATAATAGTGGAACTTGGCCACAAAGTAAAGAAAAATCATTTAGAGAACTTGCAACTAAATTCTATAGAGGGAGAAAATTAGCAACAAAGACCTAGGGTGACCAGATCAAACAAAGAAGGCACAGCTCCTGACTTATACCATAGCTGTTTGATTAAGTCTCCACACTTATAATTTGCCCCAAAATATTTTCTTTAGATACATTTGAGATTTTTCAGTCAGGATCATACTCTACAAAGTGACAAAACTGTAAGAGAAATTCAGGAGCGTGAACCAAAATCACTACTCTAGACCTGAAAACATACATGTATGAGAACTATTATACACTGACCCAAGGAGAGAAGAAAAAAAAAACAATATAAGAATGTGATCAGTTCTTCAAGAAGGTAAATATCTATGTTATAACAAAGTAAACATTTTGAAACAATGAAGGAACTCGCAAGTAACAACATTTGTATTTCACTCAGGCATCACACAGATGGCTCTCTAATAAATCAAGTAGGTGTTTATCAGACTATTTTGACAGTTGAAAATTAAGAAAGAAATTCTGAAATTAGTTGCTTGGATGATACAAAAAGTTATTGGCAAAGCCAAGATTAAAACATGGGTCCTTCATAGTTATGTAAAGGATCTATCCAAACATTCATCTGGAAAATATCATCAATCGATGTTAATGCAAATAAGCTTTGAATTTGTTCAAGTCTCATCTTCAGAAATGGCCTTACCCCGGTAAACAGTCTCCACATAGTGCATTGCTGGTGGCAGAACAGTTGGCCTTCTGAAAACGGTTAACTAGTGCACAATCCAGACAAGGCTTGCACTTCTGAAAGCCCCAGTCTTCCTTGAATCTGTTTGGCCTGCAAGTCATGCACTGTGCATCCTCCCCATATCCAAAGCCGCATTCCTGTAGGGATTAACAAGCAACAGTAAGCTATTCAGTCACTGAAAGCATGAACAAGAAGAGAATGCTGGGATAAAATGAAGACCTGGTATAATTATTACTGAGAGTAGTCTTTCTAGAGACAAAAGGAATCCATTCAGCAAGTTCAAATGTGTCTTCCACTGCTAATAATCTCCCTTACTTCTATAAGTAATACTTAGTCAACCACTTTATTCAAGAAACCACTGTGTATTTGAATGATAAAGGGCTTCAAGGACTCCCACAGTTTCATTATTACTAGCTTATGGTAGAATTATTGAGCTGTCTGTTTTTTAATTAGGTCAGTCATGTGAAAGTGCAGAAACTGGGACAAGTGAAGTATAAAGGCACTTACTCAGTTACAAATACAGCAAAGAAGCACTTTGATATTAAGGTTCACAGTTAAGGTGAACAAAGTTAATTGTTGAATAGAGTGTACTGATCTTCAAAGGCTTAGAAATTCTGTTACCAAATAAAACAGAGCTGGTTAATGACCACTGGCTACACACAAAATGTTGCTTAGCCATTACGAATTTCAGAAACTCAACCTACTCCAGTTCTAACAGTACTTAACCTGTCAGAAAAAATTAATAGCTCTGGGAATCAGAGGGATGCATAATATTTGACTACATAGGGAATACTGTTATGGCTGGTGATTCACCAATTTCAAGAGATTCTCTCCATTCATTTGGAAAAAGACACATAATACAACTGATTGGCAACAAAGAGAAACAATATACCAAACTATTCATTATACTTTGGGGATCGGGTTCTACAAACTAATTACCTAGAACTATCAATCTATTTCATTTTTCTGTCACTTTTTTTTTTTTTTTTTTTTTTTTTTATGAGCTATATCAAGTCACTAGGAGTTGTTCCTTACTTTTCCCATCTGAATATCCTATTAATTTTTGCAGTAATTTGACTAAATGCATTAGTGGCACAACGCAAAAGCAAAATGGATGTAACAAATTGTTGGAAAGGACTTATGGGGACAGAAAAAGATGGGAAAGACAGCATGAGGACTTCTTTCTCCAGCATGCAGTCTTAATGGAAGAATAGAGCAAATTCCCAACAGGAAAACTGTAGGAGTTCTTCAACTGGAGCAACTTCAGATAAGGCTTCCACCAGTTTCCTCCACAAAGCTCCATGTTCCATGCACACAAATGACTTTTCCCAGACACTCATCTAAGTAAATGGCTTTGAGCCTCACAATGCACACAGAATTCTCCATGCCTTTATTTTGAGAACATTCATGAAACTTGATCTGTGATGGGCTTAGCTAATATGTGCTTTTAGTGCCTTGGATTTGCAATGATATGGTAAAGTATCAGAAAGAAAGAACCTCTAAGGATGCGTTTTACTGGACACTCTAAGAATTTTCTAATTTTCTTTATATTAAAAATACTGTCATTCTGGAGAATAAGCAGTCAAGTACACACAAAATGAACACTTCTAAGAAAGCAACTACAAATGGACATGAAATAGCTTTCCTCCATCTCTAGATCTATGAACTAAAGAGTACACAGAGGGGATAACTTAGAAATAAGTTTTAACTTTTTCTTCTTCTTCTTTTTTCTTTCTT